GGGTCAGGTCTGCAGTGGGGCCCTGTCCCACTCAGCACCACCGCTGTGGTTTCCTGTTTGCAGTGGCTGCACTTGGGCTGCCCCCTCCCCGCCAGCCAGTCCATGGGTGTGAGGGTGGAGGGTGCTGATGCCATCTGGAAAATAGCAGGAAGGGTTGGGGAAGGGTGCCCCAGGAAGCTCCCGAGGGAAGGGGAGGAGAGGCAAAGACAAGCTGGAGGGGCCCTAGGAGGGAGGACTGAGGTGGAGGAAAAAGGACCTGCATAGCCCGTCATAGTCCAGGTCAGGGCAGGCACCAGGTCTGTCCTCACTCCAGGATACCTCCTCCCTAGCCTGTCACTGTGCCTGTGGATCCAACCTTATTGACCCACGTGGGCCTTTCTTGGGTGCCTGGAGATGAACCTTGGCTGGGTTTGAATCCTACCTCTGAACTTAGCTCAGTGTCCCCAGGCAAATTGTTTCTCTTCTCTAAGCCTCAGTTTTCTCATTTGTAAAATGCAGACAATAGAAGTGTTTTAAGGCACTTAGAGCGCCTAACACAGAGCCCAACACGCTATTCCATAGGCTAAGGCAGGAGGATTGCTCGAGCTCATCTGGAGTTTGAGGTCAGCTTGGACAACATAGCAAGACCCCATTTCTAAAGAAACAAAAAAATTAGTTGGCATATGCCACTATACCCCAGCCTGAGACACAAAGCGAGATCTCTAAAACAAATAAATGGCCTAACACGAATGTGGGCACTACTGCTCCTTCAACCTCCCTCTTTGCCCCTACCTTAAGGGACTTGGCAGCAGCAGCTCAGAGGGAAGTAGGGCCATCAGAGAGAGACTTTATCAACTTTGTGCTTTGCTTGCAAAGGCCCTGCACCTGAGGTAGGAGAAGTCCCATATGAATATGCAATGTGGCATGTTCCTACCCTTCTTTGGGCCTGTTTCTTAATCTGTACGGTGGAGAGAGGAAGAGCCATAAGATGATTTTTTTTATTTAAATTTTTAAAAATTTCTACTTCTTTTTTGTTTTGTTTTTTTTTTGAGACAGAGTTGCACTCTGTTGCCCAGGCTAGAGTACTGTGGTGTCAGCCCAACTCACAGCAACCTCCAACTCCTGGGCTCAAGCAATCCTCCTGCCTCAGCCTCCTGAGTAGCTGGAGGCATGCCACCACACCCTGCTAATTTTTCTATTTTTAGTAGAGACGGGGTCTCGCTCTTGCTCAGGCTGGTCTGGAACTCCTGACCTCAAGTGATCCTCCCAACTGGGCCTCCCAGAGTGCTAGGATTACAGGCACGAGGCACCGTGCCCGGCCCATGAGGTGACTTGTAATGGGTTTTCTAGCTGTGACCAAGTCACAGAGACTTTGTCAACATCTCATTTTGCCAAGAGATCAGAATCGTATCATGTCTTGGGGAGGGAGAAATCATCTCTGGTCATGGTAGGGAAGTCCTGTGACTATAAGTCCCAGTTGCCTGGCTGAGCCTGCATCCCTGCTGTGAGCTATTTATACCTCATCCATTCATTCATTTTTTGACACAAGAGTCTCACTCTGTCACCCCAGCTAAAGTGCAGTGGCATCATCATAGCTCACTGCAACCTCAAACTCCTAGGCTCAAGCGATCCTCCTGCCTCAGCCTCCCAAGTAGCTGGGACTACAGGCATGCACCATGACACGCGGCTAATTTTTCTATTTTTAGTAGAGATGGGGTCTCGCTCTTGCTCAGGCTGGTCTCGAACTCCTTCTTTTTTTTTTGAGACAGAGTCTCACTGTGTTGCCCTGGCTAGAGTGCCGTGGCGTCAGCCTAGCTCACAGCAACCTCAAACTCCTGGGCTCAAGTGATCCTTCTGCCTCAGCCTCCTGAGTACCTGGGACTACAGGCAAGCGCCACCACGGCTAATTTTTTCTATATATTTTTAGTTGTCCTGCTAATTTCTTTCTATTTTTAGTAGAGATGGGGTCTCACTCTTGTTCAGGCTGAGTCTCGAACTCCTGAGCTCAAGTGATCCTCCCAACTGGGCCTCCCAGAGTGCTAGGATTACAGGTGTGAGCCACCATGCCTGGCCTTACACCCACTTTTAGAAATGCAGGTTTTTGCTCTATTGCTGATAGACTCCCATGGCAGCACCGTGGCAGATAGCCAGACTGCCCAACACCAAGGCTAGGTCCTCCAGCGCTTCACATTTGGCCTCCTATCCCCACCCCCAAGTCATATCACCCTTGGCTCTTGGCATTCAAGGGAAAAGCCATGGCGTCAATACAAATCTCAAATAGTTCTGTGTTTCCCAACGTGTCCCATGGAACACTGGCATCCAGTGAGCTGGAGGCTTCCCGAGAGCAAGCACCACACCCACCTCACTCACCAGAGGCGCCTAAGGCCTGGCCCATACCGTAGGCTCCTTTCTCTCCCTGAAGCCTCCCCACATAGTAGGTGCTTGAGAAGCACTTTTTTGAATGAATATCGAGTGAATATTACTAGGTGCTGCATGATGAAAAGCTCTTGTGTTCAAGGTGTTTGGGAGGCGGGCATGGTAGCATGCCTGTAGTCCCAGCTACTTGGAGGGCTAAGGTAGGAGGATGGCGTGAGCCCAGGAGTTCAAGGTTACAGTAAGCTATGGTCACACCACTGCACTCCAGCCTGGGTGACAGAGTGAGACCCTGTCTCTAAAAAATAATTAAAAAATAAAAGTGTTTGGGAAATGCCCAAGTAGACAAAGGCAAAGCACTAAGAAGTCCTGTAGTACCAAGGATTGTGATTCTCTCAGAGAAGGATATGATTTTAGGTGTTCCCCAAACTGACCTTTCCATCCACTGCTCTATGTCTGAGCAAGTGGCCCACAGAACACACTTAGAGAGTCACTATATTGCAGCATTTCAGTTTCCACCCAAAACACACACACAGCGCTCACTGTGGCTCTCTGCTGAGTAACAACTCCCACTGCCTCAGGGAGAAAACCCAAGCTTCTCAGCCTAGCAGCCAAGGCCCTCCAGGCTGGGGCCTTGCTTTCTTCTCCTAACTTCTTTTTGCACCTTAGTCCAGCCCACTGGTCCAGCCCAGCACTACTGTGTCTTGCAGCCTGGGCTCCCAAGGAACATCCTGCAAGCTTCCACTCACAGCCCACTCCTCCAGGAAGCCTCCCTCGATTGCTCCAGAGTTAGCCACCTTCCTCTGCCCTCATAGCCTGTCCCCATCTCCCCCAAGCAGTCCGTACAGCCTGGGCATGGAGCTGGGGCTCAGGAAGTCTTGGCTGAGTGACTGCACAGCTGAGGGGTAAGGTAGAGCCTATTCTCTGGGGGGATCTGTAGGCTCCTTCCCTGAGGACTCCCACAGGGAGGGCACAGGGTGGGGCTGAGCTCACCCACCTCTCCTGGTCTGGCTCTCTCGGATGAGGAAGGCCCCTCCAGGGTTCCCCGGTAACAGCAGCAGTTCCTCGGCTTTCTCCCGGCTCAGGCCCTCATACAGCCACCTAGAGGAGGAACACAAGAGGAGGACAGGGTCAGCCTGGGGGTGTGGCGGGACTTTACTGGGACCCTCCCCGCCCCCACCCCATGTGATCCTGACAAGGCCCTCCCTCTCTGGGCCTCAAAGTTCTATCTGTACCACAAAGATCTGTCCTCAGGTCTCCGAGGCCCTCTCCAGCTTTGTCCTCCTGGTCCTGGCTTCAGGGGCCTGGGAGGACATCTTCATGGGGTCAATCTCTGCTTTTTCTGCCTGGAAACCTCATTCCCAAGTGTCCTGGGGGGTTCTGGCAGGGTGGTCCCAGCCTCTCTTCTGTAACTGCCCAGGCCCCAGCACCCCATTCCGTCCACTCTCCTTTCCAAGCCTTCGCCTTGCCAAGAGCTGTCCCCTGTCTTCTCGTCTGGAGACATTTACGCAGACTGCTCCCATCCGGGCAGGTCCCTCTCAGCGTTCTCCCCACCAGATCCTGGCCACCCTCCAAAGCCCAGACCTCGCAGGTCCTCTAGGGGGCTCCCCCAGCACCTCCTCTGGGCGGGGTCTCCCAGGCCAACCTGTGCTAGAACAAGTTGTGGGCAGGCCTGGGATTCTCCTCGTGGCCAGCTGTGCTTCCCGCAGGGCTGGCGGAAGGGGATGCTTGAGCAGGAGAGAGCATGAAGCAGGAGGGCCTGTGGGGAGAACTCACCCGTGGGAGACTTTGGCCACGTGGACGCTGGGGATGTTGTACTCTCTGCCTGAGACTTCCGACAGCACCGTCCACCAGTCTCCGCCCCTGGGGAGAGAGGCGGCGGCACCTCTTTCAGAAGAGCCAAGGCCATGGGAAGCGTGCATTCAGGGTTTGCAGGGACCCTCTCAGGCTGGGTCCTGCGGCCACCTGTCCCACCTGTTTCCCAGGCTTCCTTGCACTTGCCAGTCCAGGCACCGCCTGGGCCAGCTGGGGCTGGTGGGAGATGGCATGGATTCAAGGCTGCCTGCCACACTGCTTCTCCCTGTGGGTGTGTCAAGCTACCAGAAATCCCAGCGCGGGGTCACAGTAGAGCGCTTCACTAAAGGCCTTGTGCTTTTCTACTGGGGGGACGGGCCCCTTCTCCCATCAGTGTGTCTTCAGGGATCTAGTGCCCACGGACTTACTCAGAGACGATGGTCAGCGGCTCCCCCAGTCTTAGCGACAGCTCAGCCTGCCCACCTGCAGGGAAATTGCCCAGGGCCACGGCTGTGGCCTTGCTTCTTTCTGGATGGAGGGACAGAGACGTGAGGTCTAGAGGAGTCTGGCCTGAGTCTGGTGCCCGTTGTCAGCCCCCTGGCAGGTACCCCGAAGGAGGCCCATCTGCTTCCCAGGAGCGCCACCCTGGAACCTGAGGCTTTTCCAGCAGGGCTTTGCAGAGCCCTGGGGTGTCCAGACAGCTCTTGAGGTCACCGTAGTGAAAGGATTTGGGTAGCGAAAGGAGTGGGGCTCCTGGCTACGATGCCCTTTTATATATAAGGGCTTTCTACTCTCAGAAAACTTAAAACCTACAGCTCTAAGCAGGTGTCAGCACAGGCCTGAGCTCAGCTTCTGGAAGGTGCTGATGGGATGGACATTGGGTGGACTAGCTCTGAAGCCTGGAAATTCAGCAAGGGCCAGCAGCTGGGTCCCAGGTCCCAAGTCATACAGAGGCCCTGCAGTGAACCCAGCCTGGAGCTCCCCAGGGGTCTCCCCTCTGAGCTGTCTTTGCGGCACAGGCCTGGCTGTCGCAGGGTGCAGGGAAATACCTTATGCTCAAATAAACAGAGCAAGTCTGTGGAGGGTGTTCTCGGATAAGATGGACCCCTTCCCCTCCTGGAAGCCCTGGCCTTGTATCCCCAGGGGCTGAGCCACTGAGGTGCACGCATTGTCCCCCGAATGGTCCCCACTCTGCCTAGCTCACTCAGTGTCATCCTTCACTTCCTGGCTGAAATGTCCCTTCCCTGACTAGCCGCCTCCACATATACTCTGGGTCAGAGTCCCCTAAAACATACTGCCACCAGAATCTAATACAACTGTGATCCATTATTGGTTTAGCATCTGCCTGGAGGCAGGGACTGTGCCTGTCTTGCCCACTGCTGTGTCCCCAGGTCCTGTCATATGGCCTGGCACGTGGTAGAGTCCCAGTAGACTTAAGATGGATGGACAAATGGCTCATGGAGGGGGTTGCCCAAAACTGCTACTCCTGCTGGAGCCAGGGGTAGACCCTGATGGAGGCTCCCCAGCAGGGAGGGCCTCACAGGGAGGGCCCCACACACCTGTAGGGGTGGTCACCACCCTGAGCAGCCCCAGGCATGACTCAGAGTGGCCCTGGGACCGCTGCCTGTGGCTAGATCCAGAGGAAACCACTGCGGAGGTCTGTGTGGTTTCCAGGTTTCTTCCTGTGGGGCCTCTCTCTGCAAACAGATGGCTGAACGGATGCAGCTGCCTCTGCAGCAGGAGTCTTGCAGGGCCCAGGGGCCAAGGCCTGGGGGAGGCTGGCAACAGGGAAATGTGGATTTGGGGAAGGAAGCCCCAGCCATTCAGACTGGGGACAGCTCCCATCCACACCCGAATATCCAGACATCTTGGCTTTGCCATCTCCTCATCCTGTTTAACTGTATGCCCATGTCCTTCCTCCTGAAAGTGCTGCTTGGTTTAGAGTGATCTTGTTAACTTCTCGGAGCCCTGTGCAGAATGACTGAGGAGATATACCACGTAGGAAACAGCCTTCTAGAGCACCCAATCTGGATCTAAGTTTGTCTTACATGTATAAGAAAAATTTGCTTTAAGCCTGAGAAACACAGTGAGACCCTCACCTCTATAAAAAATACAAAAATAAGTCAAGTGGGTGGCACACGCCTGTAGTCCTGCTACTTGGAAAGCTGATGCAGGAGGATCACTTAAGCCTGGGAGTTCAAAATTACAGTAAGCTATGACAATGCCACTGCGCTCTAGCTCAAGCAATAGAGTGAGACCCTGTCACCACAAAAAAAAAAGAAAAAATTTGCTTTGGTTGGGTACAGTGGTTGATGCCTGTAATCCTAGCACTCTGGGAGGCTGAGGTGGGAGGATTGCTTGAGGTCAGGTGTTTGAGACCAGCCTGAGCAAGAACAATACCCCGTCTCTACTAAAAATAGAAAAATATTAGCCAAGCAACTAAAAATAGAAACAAAAAAATTAGCCTAGTATGGTAGTGCATGCCTGTAGTCCCAGCTACTCGGGAGGCTAAGGCAGGAGGATTGCTTGAGCCCAGGAGTTTGAGGTTGCTGTGAGCTAGGCTGACATCATGGCACTCTAGCCCGGGCAACAGAGTGAGACTCCATCTCAGGGAAGAAGAAAAAAAAATTTGCTTCAAACTAGTTTACTGTATTGATAGATTAATACCTTGCTTTGCATAATTTGCTCATGATTCCAAATAACTCTAATTTGGGGTAAAAAAATCTGCTCTGAATTGATTTTGGCTTATAAGTGTTTGCTGATCAATATTTTCTGTAATAGCGATAGGAACGAAGTGACCCTTGTTCTAATTAGTCAAGATCTACCTCTAAGGCATTTAATCATTCTGAGCCCAATACTCTTGATATCTGATATCCACCTGTAAACTTTGCTACATATTTCTAGGCACATTGACATAATTTCTCATGTTCTCTGAAGATTGCTTTTTTAGTCAGCTCAGTAAAACAATGTGCTAAGATTTTTACATCTTTAATTCTCACATGGTTCAGGAGAGATTTCGACTTTACAAATGAAAAGCTTAATAAATGTTTTTAATTTTATTATTAGGGTCTTGCTCTGTTGCCCAGGCTGGAGTGCAGTATTTACGATCATAGCTCACTGCAGCCTTGAACTCCTGGGCTCAAGTAATCCTCCCACCTCAGCCTCCTGAGTAGCTGGGACTATAGGTACATGCCAGCATGCCTGGCTCATTTAAAAAAAAATTTTTTTTTTTTTGAGACAGAATCTTGCTCTGTCACCCCGAGTAGAGTACAATGGCATCATCATAGCTCACTGCAGTCTCCAACTGCTGGGCTCACGTGATCCTCCTGCTTCAGCCTCCCAAGTAGCTGAGACTACAGGCATGCACCATGACACTCAGCTAATTTTTCTAATTTTTTGTAGAGATGGGGGTCTCAGTCTTGCTTAGGCTGATCTTGAACTCCTGAGCTCAGGCAATCCTCCCGAGAGTGCTAGGATTATAGGCATGAGCCACGGTGCCTGGCCTAATTTTTAAAAATTTGTTAAAAGATGGAGTCTCACTATATTGCCCAGTCTAGTCTTCAATACCTGGCCTCAAGCAACTCTCCCACTTCAGCTTCTCAAAACACTGGGATTGATTATAGGCATGAGCCACCATGCTCAGCCTCAAACGAGAAACTTTCGATGAGGAGTTTAGGTGACTTAACCAGTCACAGTAGCAAAGTTTGCACATGAGCCATATAAAGTGCATGTCCCCAAGCTCTGTCCAAGGGAGCTAAGTAAATAAACCATGAAGTAGAGTCATCTTCTTATCTGTGATGGTTAATTTTATGTATCATTGTGCCTAAGCCACAGTACCCAGATATCTGGTCTAATATCAGTTTAGATGTTGCACTGAAGATATTTTTTAGATGAGATTAACATTTAAATAGGTAGACTGAGTAAAGCAGATTACGCTCCATAATGCAAGTGGGCCTCAATCAGTCAGTTGAGGGCCTCAAGAGAACAGGACTGAGGTCCTTCAAGAAAGGGAATTCTACCTCCAGACTGCCATGGGACTAAGGACAGCCACATGAGCTCTCCCTGGGCCTCCAACCTGCCCTGCAGATTTTAGACTTGCAGCCTCCACAATCATGTGAGTCAACTCCTCAAAATAAACTTCCCTCTCTCCCTCCATACACACATACACACACACACTCCTATCGCTTCTGTTTCCCTGGAGAACCCTAATACATTATCCTAACACCAAATCAAGATATGATTTGAGAAAGGATTTGTGGGATGTTTTGGAGAGTAAGAAACAGACCTGGGCCACAGTTTTCACATGAAAATACTAGAATTTCTAGGACATTTTAATTGTCCAACTGTCCTAAATACTGGGAGTTTTAGTGAACACTATCTTAGACTCTAGGAGGCGGAGGCAGGAGGATCGCTTGAGGTCAGGATTTCAAGACCAGCCTGAGCAAGAGCAAGACCCTGTCTCTGCTAAAAATAGAAAAATTAGCTGGGCGGCTAAAAATAGAAAAAAAAAATTAGCCGGGTGTGGTGGCAAACGCCTATAATCCCAGCTACTCAGGAGGCTGAGGCAGGAGAATTGCTTGATCCCAGGAGTTTGAGGTTGCTGTGAGCTAGGCTGACACCACGGAAC